TTATTACACCTATCATAAATGATTTTTAAAAACATCATCATAAACTACCAAGAGTATTAAAAGGGGGTGGGCTATATGTAGGCAATAGTTTCCAATTTTAAAAAATATAAATCATATTCATAGATACCTTGATAGAGTCTTGGACCATGACCATCGAACGTACCGGTAATTGTTGGTAAGGAAATAGCTGATTTTCCATTTGTAATCTCAATTGTTGTGTATTTTTTACAATGGAAAGCTGGTTTCATTACTGTTAATTGGGGCATCAAATTTGTTTCTTTGTCCTTTTTAAAAGCTAATTTTTATTAAAGTTTTTTTACAAAATAAAACAGTACCAAGTTAAGAAAAGGGGAAAGAAAAGTAAAGTAGATGGGTGGGTTACAGTGATGGTGAATTCATCCTTGTAAAGAGTGCTGGTTTGCTCCCTACTCAAGAAGCCATTCCTGGACCCTACTATGCTGGACAATTTTTGTCCAGTCTCCCACATTCTCTTTCTAGGAAAAGGTGGATGAAAAAGTTGCAAAAAGTTCTAGAAGACACTGGAGAAAACAGATTATCTGGACCCTTTTCAGTCTGGTTTCAGGCCCATATCTGAAACCAGGCTCATAAATATGGGCCTGAAACTGCATTGGTTACACTCAGGAATGATCTGCGGCATGAATGGGATGGAGATGGTACATTCATTCTTGCTCTTCTATGACCTCTCAGTGGCTTTTGATACCCTCAACCATGGTATTATTTTGGGAGTTGGGCATGTCAGCATAATTTTGTGCTGGTTCACCTTCCTCCGAGGCTGGTCCCAATCAATTTTAATAGGGAGTAAGAGGTCCAGCTCATGGCCCCTTCTTTGTGGGGTCCCACAGGACTCAATGCTACACTCCTTTTTAATGTCTACAATGAAACCACTGGATGAGATTATCCATCACCATGGGATGTGGTACCACCAATACACTGATGAGACCCAGGTATATATCCCAGTCCCGGATATAGTGAATGATGCAGTGGATGTCCATTCATAGTGCCTGGAGTCTGTCGGGGTCTGAACGGGAAACAACAGGCTTCAACGGAACCTTCGTAAGATAGAGAGGCTGTGGTGGACCCCTCTGTATCCAGGAGTTTATCATCTTTGGTCCTGGATAGGGTTGCATTACCCCAGACAGACCCGGACTATAACTTGGGGCTTCTCTTGGATTAATGGCTCCTGCTCAAAGTGCAAGAGGCAGCTATGACCAGGAGAGCCTTTATCTAATTCTACATTGTGCACCAGTCACTCCCTGGACAGAGAGACTCTCTGTTGGTCACTCGTGCTGTGGCTATCTCCCAATTAGACTATTGCAATGGGCTCTACATGAGACTACTCTTGAAAAGTATCTGGAAGCTTCAGCTGATGCAGAATGTGGTCACATGAGCCATACTGAGTCCCCAAAGAAGGGCATAATACCTTTGCTATGTGAACTGCACTAAGTGCCAGTTTGCTTTTCAAGTCCAATTCAAGGTATTGGTCATCACCTATGGAGCCCTACACAGCATAGGGCCAGGCTATCTATGGAACCAGCTTCATCCCATCCCATCAGCCCCTTCCACTCATTCTAGCAGGGAAGGTATGCTGCAGACTCCGTCAGTCAAAGAACTTTGGTTGGCAAGGACTAAGAAGAAGGGCTTCTCTGCTGCTGTCCCTGCAATGTGGAACATTCAGCCACCAATATCTTGGCTTTCTGCAAAGTGGTCAAAACTTGACTATGCAGCCTTGCATGGGGGATAGAGTCCCTCACGAATGTGGGGCTGCATAGCCCTATGAGACAACCCTGCTCCCCCTCCCATGGCTGTATTAACATTGGCTAACCCATCTTGGAATTTTTCACCTTTTGAATTTTTATTATATTTTTTATAATTTTAAAACTTTTAAATCTTAATTCTGATTTTAATGTTAATTTTATACATTGTTATATATTGATTATATTGTACACCACTCAGAGCTCCTCTTTGAAGGAGATGGGAGGTTAAGAAATAGAAAATATAAATAAGTAAAAGTAATAAGTAAATAAAAGAAAGAGACAGAAAAAGAAAGAAAAGGAAGGGAGGGAGGGACGGACGGAGGGGAAAGAAAGAAGGCTTTGATCTTTTTTACAGCAGTTATAATTTTAAATATAAACAGCATTTATATTTTATCCTATCTTAGGTTACATTATGCCTGTTTTTTCTATTTTCAGCAAAATGGTGAAAAGTTTCCAGTCCCTAACAAATATAGTTATTGACTTTTCCTAACCAAGCAAGTCAAATTTGTCATCTTCTTTTTCTTTGTTCTCTTTGTGGTTGTATGTATTTGTGTATCCAATCGATTTTTTACTTACATCTTAATCAATACAGTATACCGTGACCATCTTAATACATGAATTTAGGTTTTGTCTTACTTGTAGAATAGGTTGGTCTTCAAACTGCCACCACCTATTTATTCTTCAAATAAATCAACACAGCTGGTCTTCCAGAATGTGTTGAAATGAGAACATTCTAAATAGAAATCACCCCACCACGTAGTCTCAGGCATTACACAAACCAATTGTGCTTATTAAAATAACAACAGTAGCCATGCGAGCCAAAAGAAGTAAGTCTTAGATTTTATTCAATAATGCCAACTTTCAACTTCAAAGGTTTTTCAGCCAAGTTGGCTGGAGAAATAAAAGGAATATGGCTACAATTATACCATGCCAGATGTGTTCTTGGGTGGGATGACTCCAAACATGGAAACTTAGCTCTTCAAGGTAGACTAGATTAGAAAAGCAGTGCATACCAATATTATTTTTATTAAATGTTTACAGTAACATATTGCAAATCTGGATGTGTTTCTTCTCTCCCTCTGCGTTACTTGGATTGCAATTCTTCCCAACTTCTGGCTTTACAGGTAATTCTCTGGCTACCATGGTAATTGGAACCAAGATTGCTGTATCTAAGTAATGTTGTGAAATGTGAAATCATGACTGATTTGCTTAGTGACAGCAAATCTGGCTTTCCCAATTTCTGTTGCAACTCCAAGACATGGGTGGGTCATTTAGCAGGAAGCTGCAGGATTCCCACTGCAGGAATGCTGTGGGATGGACAAGTGCGGTGCGGAGAAGAGGAGAGTGTGGGAGGCTGAGTGCAGACCATGTATGGATCAGAGGGCTGGCATAGGTCACACATAATTTTCAGTTACCATGGGCTTAAACCAAGAACTACCTGTATTTGACTGTGGTCTCAGTAGTCTCTCTTCCTTCTATTCCAAAAAGGTTATTCATTCTGCCCATTACATAACTAGGTCTTACCAAATTTAGAATAATATCAGGTTGACCGGAACTGCCAGGAAGAAAAAGTGTTTTCTTTTACTCAACATAAAGCTTAGTGAGCGTTCAAAGTTACAATATTGAAAAAGTGACTTATGACTGTTGCAGTATCCCCAGTCACATGATCAAAATTTGGACATTGGCAACCGGCATGTATTTACAATGTCTGCAGTCATGTGATCACTATTTGTGATATTCAAAGGCAGCTCTGGACAAGCAAAGTCAAGGGGGGGGGAGGGGAAGCTAGAGTTACTTAACTATGATTCACTTAACAACTGCGGTGATTTGCTTAAAAGCATGGCAAGAAATGCCCTAAAATTGGGTATGCCTCATATAACCGCCACCTTGCTTAACAATGGAAATTTAGGTGTCAATTGTAGTTGTAAGTTGAGTACTACCTGTACTCATATTGGCAGGAGTGAATGTCTGTTAATGACAAATATGCCCTCTTGGATGTTAATGTCCTAAATAAACGCAATAACGTATCATAACCAATATACACAGGTAAGTGCTATTAATAATCTCTGTATTTATTACCATCTGAGATTATTGGATTTCAGGTTATATATAATATTCTTCCTCTATAAAAACATACTCTCCAGAGAATTATGAAGTAATGGTGTTACTTAGACGTAACAATTGTTCCTAAGCCTTTGCACCTGATAGCACTCCATTTGAGAAGGCTGGACTCTTCCCTGCAAATTGTGAAAAAGCAGCTTTCAAGCATTCTCTAAGCCAGGCGTTTAAAAGTCACAAGTTGACTTCTGTAGACCTTACTTCATACTTAAGTGGTCAGTAGAGGGGGCGTGCATAAGTGCCTAATGTGCCTATCATCCCTGTCATTGTATTTTCATTTTTATTTATTTATTTATTTTATTTTATTTATTTTATTTGTCAATTGCTTACAAGATAATAGGTATAAGTATACACATAGTTATGAATACATGAAATGGGTATAAGAAAAATATATATAAGAAAAATAAAAGAAATAGGACAGGGATGGTAGGCACGTTGGTGCGCTTATGCACGCCCCCACAGACCTCTTAGGAAAGGCGTGAGGTCAATAGTAATTATTTCTTTTATTTGTCAAGCATGTATTAGATAACAGATATAAGTATAATCACGATTACATGAAATGGGAAAGAATAAAAGGGAACATTAGGACAGGGACATTAGGCACGTTGGTGCGCTTATGCACGTCCCTTTTATTCTTGTCATTTTTTGTTTGACAAATTATAATAAATAAATAAATAAAACCAAGAATCAACGTCTCTCGGCAATGTTCCTCGCTAACTGTGCCCAAGAAGAGGAATGGCAAACGTCCTGTAGTTCAGAGGTCACCAACTTTGGCAACTTTAAGCCTGGCGGACTTCAACTCCCAGAATTCCCCAGCCACCTGGCTGGGGAATTCTGGGAGTTGAAGTCCGCCAGGTTTAAAGTTGCCACGGTCGGAGTTGGTACCATGCAAGGAGCCACAATGTATATTGCGCGAACCTCCCTCGCCGTTCTCAAAGATGCTCGAGGCTATGCAAAGCACAATGACGTAAGCACCCGCCAAGAGAAGGCTCCGACCTGCCGCCGGCCTCGCGTAACCGAGGAAGGGGAAAGGGGCGGGGCGGAAAGGGCGTCTCCTTGGCCACTTACAGGCTGAGGGTTTTGGCGCGCTCGGCGGAAAGCATTGTGGGTAGAGCAGCGGCGCCGATGGCTGAGAGGACGGTTGCTCTCATGTCGCAGGAAGGAGAGGAGGCTGCCGCTGTGCAGTGCCCTGTCCGGGCCGCCCTCAACCATTTGTGTCAGGAACTCAATCTGGACGTTGACAGCGCTTCGGAAGCCCTTCGAGATTTCACAGCCTTGCGGGGCACCTACAGCCTTGAGGTGGGGAGGCGGCTTGTCTGTCAAGGAAGGGATGGTACCTGGGTGGCTGGCCGGCCGGCTGAATCCTTGCAGCTGGTTAAATGCCCAGGTGGCAACGCAGAGCCCGGGGCTTCCTTGTTCTTGGTGTGTGTGTGTGTATGTATGAATGTGTGTGTTTGCGTGTACATAATCCAAGATTGGGGCTCCTGTGGGCCTCGGCAACACTCGACTAGGGCATGTCCTGGGCGGGGCTGCCAAGTGTCCCGTTCCCGAGGAGGCTTTTCTTACTGCCTTTTTAGGCACTTAATCGTGACCCAGGGACCTTCAGCGGCCTTATGGGTGGACGTCGGAAAGGATGAATGCTCGCCAAAGTTACATGGAAGTAAGAACGATCATTGACGAGTCTTAAATCTTCTGAGATCCACAGAAGAACCATTTAACTCAAGGCAAATAAGTCACAGAAAAGCCGGGGAAGGAGTTTGATAGAAAGCGGAATACCAAGAGAAAAAAAAAGAGATGCAGATGGCCTGAACTTCTTGTGCTGTGTTATTTTAACTCTTTATTTGAACATTTCCTTGAAGATGTTATTAAAATATTGCCTCGGGAGTAGGAATTATGGAGCCTTGCTTTTTCTGTACTACAGTTTTAGAAGTCTTAACATGTAAATTCTGAATACTAATCACATTGAAAAAAGTTATTAACTAATAAGAATTACTGTCCAGATATAGGATGATTATTCCTTGATATGAAGAAGTATAAAAGTAGTGAATTATAATGTATAACTTAGAGTTATAACTTTTGGAGTCACGTTATGTGACTCCAAATTGTAAGGTTTATGATTCAGTATATTGTATGAACCTAGAAAACTGTTATTGAGCAAATCAGTGATTTTTACACTATTCTAGATTATGGAATTCCAAACAAGGTATTTCCACAACAAAGGAAATAATTTTTTTTATATGTCTCCAGTTTCATTTCATACTACATTTTAATGAGATGTATGAGCTGGCAGAGTATAACACATTTCTTTCACATGTCATGTGAGATATGTTAAAAAGCTGGCATAATTTTTAGTTTGTTTTGGTATTTTGGGGGTTTGCATTAAATACTGAAAATACACTTTTAATAAAGTTTATTGGAATAAAAGATACTGCAATCTTCAATATCATCCTCTGAGCTTTCATTCTGCAGTCTTATAATATTTTTATTTTCCTACTGTTTCAGTGAGATATCTTAAAATACCTGCTAAATTTCTATACACATACATAGTAGTTGTTTGACTAGCTAATGAAATAAAGGAATTCAAAATCCACAAAAGAATTTCAGAGGAGCCTTGGGACAAAACAAAATACCTTCAAGATGTATAAAGATCACTTGTGTACAATGGGAGCATAATTTAAGAAACAGTATAATAAATTATAGATAAACCTTCATAAACATCAAAATGGAAACAGGTACAGGTAGTTCTCAATTTATAACAGTTCATTTAGTGACCATTTAAAATCACAACAGCACTGAAAACAGTGACTTATTACCATTTTTCACATTTATGACTTGTAGCATACCCATGGTCACATAATCAAAATTCAGACATCAATCGCACTTAGATTTCTATACCACTTCATAGAACTTTACGGCCCTCTCTAAGTGGTTTGCAGAGTCAGCATATTTCTTCCAACAATCTGGGTTCTCATTTTACCGACCTCGGAAATATGGATGGCTGAGTCAACCTTGAGCTGGTCAGGATCAAACAGGTGGCAGTTGGCAGAATTAGACTGCAATATTGCATTCTAACCATTGTGCCACCATGGCTCTTAGCAACTGACTTGTTTATTATAATTGCAGTGTCCTGCACTGCATTTAACAATTATGGCAAGAAAGGTTGTAAAATGGGGCAAAACTTACTTAACAAATGTCTCACCTAGCAACAGAAATTTTGGGCACAATTATGGTTATAAGTCAAGGACTATCTGTATAAGAAATGTCTGCTAATAGAATAGATAGGTAGCCTGAGCTGCTGGAATGTTGGCCTCCGGACAGAATTTCACTTGTCAAATTGAATAAATGGCCCTTGGGAATAGGATAGGGTTAAATATTGAATGATAGATTTTTTTTTGATTACCGTAAAATAAAGCCTTTGGAAACCTCCCATTTCCAGCTAAAGCTGCAGGTCATAAGTGCATGCAAGCTGCTAGGTGGCTGAATTTTAATCATATGAAGCTGGGGGCACTGCAGCAGCTGTAACTTCAGGTACATATTGTAAGTCCATTTTTCCAGCACCATCATAAATTTAAATGGCCACTGAACAAATGGTTGTAAGTTGAGGACTACTGGTAGTTATTAGATTCTTTGGTTTAAAAGAACTTTCATGTGACTGTCATGTCTATGCAAGGCAGAGAATTATGACATTGAGAATTCAATTAAAAAAGTAATTTTTTTCATATGAAATGCTGTACACCATTATTCTTTGTAAACTGGCAGTCATATCAGAATATAGGTCATATATTTTAATAGATCTTTCAAAGGAACATGCCTCCCAGTGGTTTTGTCCAAAGGGAGTTTAAAGATAAAAAAATTAATTAAATTTTACTTTATTTCATCCAATAATCAGAATAGAAAGCTGCTTAAAGCAGTAAAATGAATAAGCATAAAAAGCATAAAACACTGAATGAAAATAAAATTATATTTAGGCATAATCTCTTATAACGGTAGGAGTCATTTAAATTTAAAATATCAACAATTAAAATATTCTAATAGTGAAATAACATAGCTTGAGTTAAAGAAGTATTTATTAAACTTTACATTTAATGTTGTAAATTAAATACATTAAAAAACTTTTCATCTACCAAATCAGAATTGCTCTTAATAATTTATAAAGCTGCTTGGTTTATAAACGTGAGTATTTATTCACACTATAATCAGCATTATTAATCCTAAAGACTGTAAATAACTTATTTTTGCAGGGAGACGTTATACATTGGTTGGCTTGTGCTCTCTACGTTGCTTGCCGTAGAAGTGTAGTGCCTACTGTAGGAAGTAGTTTGATGAAAGGAAATTGTGTCTCACTGACCAGAATTCTGCGTTCTGCGAAGTTAAGGTATTTTTGTTTTAAACAATATTTCCTGTGCCATTCTAGTCTAAAAGTGCAATAGAAATCTTAATTTCAGTTCAAAGCTTGCATAAATGAATGCCTATTCTTACTGTCTACCCCTGATATAAGTGAGATTATTAACATTCCTTGTGGGAATTGCAGTGAACTTGGTATCTGCACTTTGGTTAATGTTATCATAACAATGATTATATTACTAGTTACCTAAATAAAGCATTATCAATTGTTACCTAAATCGAGCATTGTTATCACAATTTTTGTTGTGATATTAATATGGTTATGTAACAGTTCAGCATTAATGTATTTACTGTTTCTTATTAAGGATCATAGGCAGCAAGGTAAAGAGGGATATAGTAATTATATTAACTGACTGAACAGATCAGTCTAAGTCATGGTATGTTGTAAGGAATAAGGAACAATGACTGACAGAAAAATGTCTTTATGGTAATTTATAAGCCACAATAATTGAGTAAATACAATATGCTAAACCAAAAGCAAATAAAAACGACAAGGTCATTGTTAAGAGTAGCACAGAGACTTGATCTTGTTTTTTATTAAGAATTCCAAAGAAAGAATAACATTAATATATTGGATGTAAGACTTTATGAAAGTAGGTGGTTTAGTCAGATAATTAAATATTAAACTATAATGTGATTTTTGTTTGATTTAGTGTATAGTCTGAATCCAGCCTTGTTAGTGTATTCATAAACCATTGTTCAACAAATCAGTGTAATCAAGAACACTGAGTAATGCTAATCACCATTTTTCACATGCCTATTTTACAGGATTATAATTAGCTGGTTCAGTCATGTTTACCTAATGACTTTGATATTAATACAGTGCCTTCATATTTCACATAGCAGTTTTAGTGAAGTCTATTTGCATTTTCAGCTGTGTTCATTAACATTAAGTGACGCTTGTATTAATGCATTCTGAATGAAATTGTTATAAAATAGACTGAGAATATCTACAGAAATTAAATATATAATTTGATTTGTTTTCTTTTAAGCTTAATTCAGTTTTTTAGTAAAATGAAAAAATGGATGGACATGTCAAACCTGTGTCAAGAATTTCGAGAGAGAATAGAGAAGTTGGAGAGAAACTTTGAAGTGTCCACAGTAATATTCAAAAAATATACCCCAATCTTTTTAGATATATTTAAAAATCCTTATGAAGAACAACCTAAATTTCAAAGAAGCAGGAAACAAAGGTAAGATGTTCAAAGGTTTTGTGGTATTTTTGATTTCATGTTGCTAAAAAAAAAGTAAAGTGAGCAATAGAAATATATGATATTATAAAATTCCTTGGTATACTTGGCAGACTCCAAGACATCTTTCTCAATAATGTAGTTGAGAAAGTAAAGGGCTTGTGTAATATGGTGTGAACCTTTTAATGGAATATTGTATGTGTAAAAACATGGATACAATAGGATTGGTATGGTAGCAGATGCTTGAACATACCAAAATGGTGTGTTAAGTTGCTATAATCATTTATGGCCCTTCTTAAAATTAATAGAATCTAAGTCTTCTGTGTGATTTTCAGTAATTCTAAGTAATAATTTAGAATTAAAATGAGACTTCTCTTCCAACAGACGGGTACCCTGTAGTGCTAAAGATCTATTCAACTTCTGCTGGACTCTATTTGTCTACACAAAGGGTAATTTATAATGACTTAACTTTGTTGCCTGTTTTTAATTAAATATTTTAGCTGTATTGTTAAATGACTTGATGTATTCTGTTTTAAAGGTAATTTCAGTATGATTGGAGATGATCTAGTGAACTCATATCATTTACTTTTATGCTGCTTGGATATGGTTTTTGCAAGTGCACTTTTGTGTCCATATAAAAAAGATTTAATAAATCCATCTTTCAAAGGTACATTCCTTATTATCTTCTCCCAACTACAATGCAAAGTTTTAATTTGTTTTTAAAAATGAATACACAATAAATTTATTGAGCTTTTCTTTTCTTTTTTTGTAAAGGTTTGCAAGAAGACTTTCATACAACTGACTCCAGAACTTCTGAAAGGCCACCATGCATTATTTCTACACTGTGTGAATTACATGATGGACTTTTGGTAGATGCCAAAGGCATAAAAGAACATTACTTTAAGCCATATATTTCAAAGCTCTATGATAGGAAGGTATACAATCAAAAGTAATTACTAATCATGTAATTGTGTTTAAAGTTTTCATTGCTAGGAGAAACAATTTTTATCTGGAATGTTCATTTTAAATGAATACTTGGAAATGTACTGTCAAAGATTTAGCTATGAAACTACAATTGGTGAGTTTCCAATTTTTTTTCTTACTGGTTCTGAGAGAGCACTTTGTGTGTGCGCGGGCAGGGCTCAAGGACCACCCTCTGTGTCAACATTGGTGAGTTCTGTTTTTTAGCTCAGCTGAGGCGCGACAATCCGCTCTGCCGCGCAAATCAGTTGAGCTAAAAAAACAAGGGAATGTAAGAGAAGTAAAGGTGGGGGTGGGTGGGCGGAGCCAGCCAGAGGTTCTCCGGTTCTCTGAACTAGTCAAAATTTCTGCTACTGGTACGCCAGGACCAGTCCGAACTGGCTGAATATCACCTCTGACTACAATCTTTATCGCTTGTAAATTATAGCACTGTATTTACCTTTTCCCAAAAAACCTTTTTTCTTCTTTTTTCTTAGTGCTATCAAGCAATTCAACTCTTACAAACAACCTTTCTACCAACACTGTTATACAGTGTATTAGTGTATTACAATATGGCATCTTCACCAACATGATATTTTTCAGAAATATGGACTTCTGGAACTCCCAGCATTCTCCATGAGCATTGCCATAGTTAAGAATTCTAGGAGTTCAAGAACAATAAAGCTGAACAGTGCTTAGGTTGGAGCCTACAATATAAATAGTTAAAATTAAAGAAATATTAGGACTGGTAGTTGATTATTTCTCTATTGAAGGCATCTACAAAGAAAGCATTTGTTTCTAAAATTACCAGTGGTCCAGGGGTGGGATTCTACTGGTTCTGTCTGGTTCTAGAACCGGTAGCTCTAAAGAGCAGCAGACATAGAACCGGTTCTATGTCTGCTGCTGTTTTGGCCCACACGCCTGCCCGGGCTCTTACCTGACCTTTATTTCCTGCTTTTTCAACCTCAGCTGCTTTGCGCGGCACAGCTGCAGTTGAAAAAGCAGGGGAAAAGTGCTTTTTCAATCGCTGTGCACCTGCGTGCAGCGCTGCTCAGCTGTCCAGGCTGCAAGCTGACGATGTTCACACGTGCAAAAGGTAAATCACCGAATCGGTAGTTACACCGGTCGGATCCCATCTCTGCAGTGGTCGCTCTGTTTAGTAACAGTACGTGTACAGGTAGTCCTTGACATACAACTGTTCATTTAGTGAGGTTGCAACTGCACTGAAAAAAGTGACTTCTGACCGTTTTTCACACTTATGACCATTGCAGCATCCCCATGGTGACATGATCTAAATTCAGACACTTGGTAACTGACTTACATTTATGACAGTTGCAGTGGTCCAGGGTCATGTGATCAACTTTTGCAAGCTTCTGACAAGCAAAGTCAATGGGAAAGCCAGATGCACTTAACAACTATGTTACTAACTTAACAACTCTGGTGAGTCACTTAACAATTATGGCAAGAAAAGTCATAAAATGGGGCAACACTCCCTTAACAAATGCTTTGCTTAGCAACAGAAATTTTGAGATCAATTGTGGTCGTAAGTCAAGGACTACCTGTATTGCAATCCAATTTTGACGTACAGAGAGGTGGGCTTATTATTTATTTACAATTTTACTCAGTGTTTGAATAGTAACAGTTCTCTAGGAGCACACTTATCTTCACAATAAAGTATTAATTCTGACATAATAAACTAGAAGCTTATGAGCTTTGCATGAGTGGATAAAAAAATTAGGAAACTAGAATTGAATATTGCTTTCTTTTATTTAAAAAAGTTTAATAAAAGAAAGCAATATTCAATTCTAGTTTCCTAACTACAACAAACTACTTAGACTATCAGAAAATAATCTGATACGTTTTTGTTTATCTGTTTCTGCTTTTCTAATGATTTTAGATTTTAAAAGGAGATTGTCTCTTGGATCCAAGCAACTTTGTAAATAACAAGTAAGTGTTTTGTTTAATCACACTGTTTAAAATATATATTAAAATATTCTAAAAGTGGCTGTTCTGTGTGATTTTAGCATGCAAATTAGATTGATTTTGAATAACAAACATGGTAGCTGTTGGAATATTTGCTCACTGGATTTTTAATACTAATGTTTTTACTGTTGTCTCTGGGATATATGGTGAATTGCTGTTGGGGAGTATTTATGAATGTTAGGTGAAACCATATTATAATTACCCTGAACAGGCTATGGATAGGATTTAGGGAATTTATTTATGTTAGATTTCAAGTCCTAGAAATAAAAAAACTTTGAAACTACCCCATTCTCCCATGAGCTGTTCAGAGCATCCAGTAGTGGGAGGTACTTTAGTCTCTTCCAAGATAGTCTGGGCTTAATTGTGAGGACACTCCTCCTCCTCCACGGGACTCCTCCTTAGCGCCCCCAGTTTTAGCTCAGCCTTCATAGAAACAGGCAGTTTGTACTTTGGCTGGAATAGAGCTAGAAATTTCAGAGAATTACAGACCAGGTTTGGTGCTTTATTACATTTGGGGAATCCCTCATTCATTAGAAACCTCTGTAGCTTCCGACGACTTTCTTCATTACCATCTGGCCGTCGGGACTTATTAAATTGCTCGCAAGAGCAAGTGCACAAGCGCAACGGAGGCGGCGGCCTCAAAACAGCAAAAAAAGAACAGGCTTATCTTTCCTATCGTTTACCTGCTGCTCCGAACGATCTGATTTCACTTGAGGCGAAAGCCTCCAAAACCGCAAACAAAAGAAATTCTTCTTTCCGATCGTCTGGTGCAGCTCCCAACAACAAGTGCACAGACAGCGGCTGAGGTTTCCCCCCGCAGAGCACCTTCGAGGGCAGAGACTTAGCCTCTGTACCCTTCCCGCTGAGTGGTTTTGCCTGCGGCAGATCGGGCAGTGATTAGCTGCTCTCCCCACATCGCACCGTGAGGTGGCCGCCATTTTAAGCCAGCCGTGTGGCGATTCCATCGGTCTGGTTGTTGACTGTGGGAGGAGTTTCCCTGCTAGGTTTCCCTTCCTGGGGACCTGGGGAAAGGCTTCCCTACCCCCAGTTTCTCTGGGTGGTAGCGAATTTTAGTCTGCTGGCTCAGCCTCACAGCAACCAATTAAGCAGCTCAACTGTGTGCAATAGGTTTGAACGTCTGTGCAGGTTATCAGTTGCAGGCCTCTTTGTCCTTATTACAGGATATTGGTCTGCGGGGGTGTCCTGCACCTAAATTGGAATTCGTTCTGAAATTGTTTCTAGAATTGGTTTTCATTCAAATTTCTCTCTTAAATCTTCTCATTGGACAATTGCAAGTTTAATCAATTCGGAAGCAAATTGAAGGAGGGTTCATTACCTCCCCAAAACAAAAAAAGAAGAAGAAGAAGAAGAAACAAGAGGGGAATAACTATTAACAAGGATCCTATGCCCCTTAAGGGAGCAGGCCCTTAGGTGTGCCAGCCACCACACCTCACAGTCTCCTTAAATATTGAGCTCGACAAACAAGATCTATAATGGCAAGCGGTTACAATTCTAAATCCAGAGTGGTATCCAAGACCCGGGACAAGTCCACGGAGCCCAAAAAGCCCTCAAAGGCAGCCGAAAAGGATGCACGCAGACGCTATCCGGCCTTAGAAAAACAGGTCAAAAAACGTACCAGGGAAACGGAACAGGCCGCATCATCCTCACACATTCCTCCTAACACCGCTCAGGCCCCAAGCCCTTGCCCCAGGACTTGTCTAGAAGGCACAGCATAGCTAGACAGGTTCTCCAAGAGGCCCCATCTACTGTGCCCACCCCAAAGAGGGCCCTGGAGGTGACATTTACACCAACTGCAGCTGGCCTTTGTCAGGATGAGCAACTTCCGGAGGAAATCCCCGCTAGCATGAGGGCATGGATGGAGTTGGCAATTCAAAAAGGCATAACGGCAGGCATACAACAACCGGTTTGGGCCAGACAACCATCCACAGCTTCGGTTTGTTGGTCCCTCTCAGAGCGGTCTCTAAGCATTTAATCAGAATGTTTCCAGCATCATGAAAGAAGATTGGAGTTTTAAAGGTCTTTATATAATACAATTGTGGGTGCTTCATTTCCCCTGCTATCACATCAATGTATTTTTTTTTTAAATCAGTAGGAAGATAAGAAAAAATATAATTGAGTATATATTAATAAGAAATAATAAATCAACATTACATATTACTTGCTTTTTCAGCAAAGCCCTGAATAAAGAATATGAAGAATATGTTCTCACAAAAGGTGATTTTGATGAAAGAATTTTCTTGGGAGCAGACGCAGAAGAAGAAATTGGAACACCTCAAAAATGTTGTGCAGCTACACCATGCGGAAATATAAGAGCTCATGCTGAATGTCATCTTCAACAACATTTTGAGGTAATTTGTTTTAAACAAATGCATCTGTTATAGTCTTAAAGAATATTAAAGAATAACTGGGATGGAATATCTTTAGCCTAGTCATTAATTATCTCTGACATGGCAAGCAGTTATAAAAATTTTGAAAAAAGGATCTTTCTATGGTGCTCTCACACCGCTGGATGGTTCATCTGTTTTTAGTGCAGATAAATGAATATTGCCAAATATGTGGAAAGTATGTTGAACTTACTGCTGAACTATTACGTAATTGATTTTCAGAAGTCAGGAACTGAATATGTAGGAGGTATATAGACTGAAAATGATTAAGGTTTATTTCCACCATGATGGATAGAGACTTGCCATATTAGCTGAAACCAATAATTTTACAGGTCATACATAATTCATTGTGCATATAATTGAAAGATTTGGAGGCGGGAGGGTTGTGTGAGGAACAGCAATATTATTCTCCACCCATTTCAGACTATCTGAAACTCAATAGATTTTGGCACAAAAGACCTGTCATAGGAAAGTCTGAGAATGAATCTGTTGTAATGCTGTAATGTGTCTCTGCACAATATCAATGATTTCTGAATTTCTGTTTGTAATTGTTGAAATTTATATAGTGGTGTTGGTCTACCCAGTTGGCCAAAACAATTTAAACAAATTTAATTTGACTTTCAGAAAAGATCCTTTGCACCATCAACCCCCTTAACTGGCAGGAATTATTTGAAAGAGAAGGAATCAGTAATTACACCAGTTGCTTCTGCAACACAGAGTGTGAGCCGGTTACAAAGTATTGTAGCAGGGTTGAAAAATGCACCAAGTGAACAGCTTGTAGCTATTTTTGAGTAAGTTGTATTTCATTTGCTTTATGTTGCTCATATCTCTAACTTCTGTCTTTCATTTTTCTGATGATATCTTAGAATACTTGATATTTTATTTGATAATAACCAACTATGCTATGTTTCCTGAATTGTAACCTCAAATGATACCAGGGAAAATTAAGCACCTATTTGTTAAAATGATCATGGGAGACTTCTTGTTTGTAAAGTTTATTTTAGAAAATATTACATCACCTGCAATTAGTTTGAATGCATATTAATGTTTTGTTTTAAACAAGATGCTATTTGCTAATCATGTTTAAAGTATGTTTTTTTTATATTCTACTATAGATCATGTATACGGAATCCTATGGAGAATATCCTGAAAAGAGTAAAAAAGATAGGTGATATTTTCCGTCAGAATTATACTCTCTCTGTCAATAATCAACTGGTATGCCATTTAGGTAAGAATATGAAAAAAAAAAATATGTCGCAAAGCCAAAGCTATTAAAAGAATATTTCTCTCTTCGGTCTCAGAGATACACATTGAGTTAATTAACAGCTAATTAACTGCATAGAATGTAGGAAATTACATATTGTTGGTCCCTGTTTTGATGAACAATTACTACCATAAAAATACAAATTTTATTTCACAGATGACTCTGATTGTTCTCTATATTATAACTTTGAAGGTATATAGTATTACAAAAGAAGACTTAAAACATTCTGCTCAAGAATTTTTATATTCCTCTGAAGAGTCTGGAAATGAAATGGTTCCACTAAAATTGCTTATTCTCATGAAAATCCTTGTCTAGAATTTTATCGAGAAAATTTGTTCCATTTTGCTAGTTTTATAGAAGTAAACAAAATAATGATTGATTTTCTAGAGTACAAACAGGACTAAAGACAGTTTTAGAATTTGGTGACCTCTAAATCTATTAAATAACATCAATTATATAATATTAAAGCATCCTGTCATGTATGAAAGCATCCTGTCGCATTGTATTATTGTGTGCTTTGGAAGTCTTACTATTTCAGACAGGAAGGTGGTGCAGAGAGTGGTGAAGATGGCAGAAAAGATTATTGGAAGTTCACTTCCTTCTATCCAGGATATAGCATATAAATGATGCTTGACCAGGGTCCACAGTATTGTCAGGGACACTACACATCCTCTCCATGACCAGTTTTCTTTGTTACCTTCTGGGAGGAGGCTTCACAATTTTTGAAACAGAACGATTAGTTTCTGTAATAGCTTTATATCATATAGTATCAACCTTGTTAACTCTCAAGACTCTCTTTTCCACTATGTGTATAGTATGTATTGTGTCTGTCTGTCTATCTATCTATCTATCTGCATATGTGTATGCATATATGAGTATTATAGAATAATAACAAATTACTTACATAAGAAGTTATAACAAATCTGGCATATATTTATCCACAGGTTTTATGCTGGGTTTTTCTAACTATTATTAAATATCTCCTGCATTAACAGGTCTATATTCATTTACTCAAATATAAATACTATAAGAAGCGGAAATTGTTGTTTGATAATACTGCATACAATTTACTCTTTAAGATGTGCCTTTAATGCTTTCTTGATCAATATAAAGTCACATACTGTTTTATAGAAAAATTACAGATAAACTGGACAAGCTTTTAATCTTTTTATTTATGTATTATTAATAATTAAACATCAGTATTTGACTTAATTTTTCAGATTTCGCTCTTCACCGATTAAAATTGGCAGAAATTTTGTATTATAACAGTTTGGAAACTATAATGATACAAGAAAAGAGAAGGCTGCCTGGCAAAGACATGTCTGTAAGTTCAGAACTATGGAGAAATATAATAGAATATTTTTTTAAAAAATCAAACGGTTTCATAATTCGCTTGTTATTTGCTTTAATTGTTTTTTCATTCTAAAAATAGAATTTGTCTTAAATTATACAAGGTTCTTTGATGGAGCACATACTGAGAAGATCTCATAAGTAAGTTTTAGTGTTTCTGGTTAAAAGGTTTGAGAAGAACTGGAGACACTAACCTTGTCAATTTTTTGAGAAGCAACAATTCTGTAGTTGAACCAAATATCAATATAAAGTAGCTTGAGCACATCAGTCTTCATTTATATTACTTTTCCTCCAGTTCATTTTGTCCTTTAGATCAGTGGTCCCCAATCTTTACAGCTTGGGGCGGCAAGCATGGCACGGGGAGGTTGAGTGTGAGTGGGTGAATGTGCACACAGCTCCATTGTTGCGAGTGGCGGACATGGACCCTCTACTTGCACAAATGAAGTTTTGCATACGAGCGGTGGGTCCTTGCATTGCACATGAAGCTCCCCTCGCATGAGCGGTGGGCACATGCACTCTCATGCCAAGCTCCACTCAGGCAAGCAAAGTGGAGGCATACATGATATTCTTCCGACTAAAATCGGAATTCCGATTTTTTTCTTTTCCGAACATCATCATCATCATCATCATTATTATGCTTTTTTTGCAAAGTTGCCACTAGTCGGTGGAAAAAAGCCAGCCGGTTCTCTCCACTTGTAAGCGTGGGAAGCGCCGGAACTCCGCGTTTTTAAGTGGTGGGGAGGAAGACCCGAACCGAGCCGAGCCGGTTCCGTGTTTGAGTTCTGTGTTTCCTTTGCAACTTGTAAGCATGGGGGTAATCGGAAGCAGAAAAGTTCTTGCATGGTTTCCAAGGTGTCTCCTCTCCTGTTCCTCACCCCCTCTGTCCCCTCTCTCCCTAATTCCTACCTCCCCCCCGCCACCTCTGACTCAATAAGCAGCGCTGTTAGTTTGGACTACCAGTAGCAGATTGCTGGCTGGATGCTCTTCTTTGCTCGCGCTGCTCTTTGCAAAAATAAAAAAACAAAATCCCAGAGCCCTCCGTGGTTTTTGCATTTGCAAGGTGCAAAGTGGCGGCGGCGGATCGCGCGTGCTGGAAAGGGCTTGACTGTATTCTGGTAAGAGAGAGGGAGGGAGAGAGATATCGTAAGAACGGCTCTTGCTTTTTTCGCCAGCCCCAGGCGCTGTGGGGCTTGCAAGGGAGAGAGTGACTCCTGCCTCCCGCTGTCATCATCATCTTCTTTTGGGTGGGTGGGAGAAGGAAGTTGTGTTTCTCAAGGCATGCAAAAAAAAGAAAGAAAGAAAAAAATAAAAATAAAATGCATGGCCAAATCGTTGGGAGGGAGTCGAGCTGGAGAGGTAGCCGATTCCCACGGTGGCAAATCATCCCTGCGGCGGGTGGGCGGGCGGGCTGGCTGGCTGGCTTGGCAAGCGGACGAGCCGAACAGCGGCTTGGCTACCTACCTTGTGAGGCAGGGGAAGACGAGAGAAGGGAAGAAGACGGGGGTGGCATGGGGCAGGGGGAGAGGTTTCCTGGGGATGCGGAGGTGTGGAAAGAGCCAGACGGCTGTAGCTCCCTCCAGAGAGCGAAAGCAATGTTCATTTACCGGAAAATTCCCCTGCGGGAAGTCACGCGGAGGGGAAAAAAAAAAAAGCTTGGAGTGGCGACTGGAACTGGAGCTCCCTTGATTAACAATTCTGAATTTTTTTCCCTTTCTTTTTTTACTCCCTTCCCGCCGTTGATAATTAGGATCCGGTGCCTCCAGGGTCCTGTCGGTGGTGTGGGGGGGCGTGATTAGATTTGGGGAGGAGGGCGAGGTCAGAAGGAAAAGGCACCCCTGGCTACTTTTCAGATTTTTTTTTCAGACGGTAATATGCCTGGGAGGGGATTTGTGCTTGTGTGCAAAGCTCCACTCACATGAGTGGAACTTCATGCATGCACATTTGCCTGTTGCTCACACAAGTGCAGGTATGCAGCTTCAAGCATGCTTGCCTATCACTTGTGTAACACGGTTTCAAACAGGCTAGGGACTGGTAGTGGGCTGTGGCCTGGGGGATTGGGGACTCCTGTTTTGTGTCATGTGATCAAAATTTGAGTGCTTGACAACTTGACATATATTTATGACAGTTGCACTGTCCATGGGTTATTTGTAACATCCCTAGCTCTATCTTCAAGCAAGCAAAGTCAATGGGGAAAGCCAGATTCACACAACAACTGCATGATTTACTTAACAACTGCAGTGATTTGCTTAACAACTGTGGCAAAAAAGATATAATGCCCCTGTCAGAGTCTGAATCCGAGGAGGAAGACGAACAGCTGACAGGGAGTGGGAGTGTGGCTCTGTTGGCTGTGGAGGAAGCTGGAAAAGGGCAAAATCCAGCTGGGCAGAGCAGTGGAGAGTTAGAACAAGGGAAAGGGAGTTAAGAGGAAGACCCAGGCCCACACCCTCTTCATCCTAGGGCATGCAGGGAGGAACAGAGAAGAGAGCAACGTGGGTTGTGTGGCTTACGGGGGAGGAAAGGGCCCTGATTACCTTCATTAGCCACACCTGGGAAGAGAGTTTAAAAGAGATGCATTCTGAGTGCGGCGTCTTCTGGGAACAAACATGAGTTTATCTTGTGTTGACTTTGGTTATCTGCGTTCCTGGCATCCTCTCAACCATGATGAATTACTGCTGTCTGGAATTCCTTCTCTTGTCCTGCCGGACTAATTACCTCATCTTGCCTTGATTGGAGTTATGGTTACAGTTTTTGTTAACCACATTTTGGACTTGATTCTCTGCAGCCAAAGGCTGGGAGAGTTTTTCTCCAGCCCAGAAGGTAACCAGGACATTGGGAGCAAAGTTGGAGCTAATAAAGGGATTCCTACTGATTATCTGATTGTGTTGCCTTTGTGCCATGCTCCAGGTCATCACAAAAAGTCATAAAATGGGGGCACAACTCATTTAACAACTTGCTTAACAATGGAAATTTTGGGCTCAATTGTGGTCATAAGTTGAGGACTACCTCATTCTATATGAAGGCTCCATGGTCTGTCAAAAATGTCCCATTTTGGTACTTCTCACATCTTCTGATATTTTTCACAGATTATTGTTACTTCATTCAATTCACATGTGAATTATCTTATTTTGGAAACGATATTTTATTGTGAAAAATGTTCTTCAAAGCTACGATTCTCCAGAATCTACATGAACTGAAATATTCCTGAACAAATCTGTTTGGATGGGTTTCGCAAAGAAATTTCTTCCACAAAGAAATAAATAACATTGGGCTAAAGTTCTGTTATTTCTCACAAATCTTAAAGGATTCCAAAATACCTCTTTTGGACGTTGTGTTAGTAGCAGGGCCATTGTACTTAATGTCCTTTAAATGTTTGCTTTCTGGTGGACAATTCAAACAGCAGGTACCATGTTTTAAATTTGGGGAGGGTGATGGAAAACTAGATTGCAATTCAAAGTTCAAAATAATAACTATCATACCATTGAGTTAAAAATTTATATATTAAAGGGATTTTTTAAATTCAGTGATCTTGTGATCTTATACAAGGATAGTGAACTAATGGGTGCGAAAAATGAATTATGTTCTGTAATAATGATTTGATTATTTTGCAAAAGAAGAAAATAAAACTGATTTCTCAAATTACCGTGTTTCTCCAACAATATGGCCTCTACCAATAGGAAGGCCCAGCATGATTTCTAGGCATGAGGTGAAATTAAGCCCCGCCCCCCAAATTTAGGCCTATTTAAACCATGCGTTTCCCCGCCATTTCTCACATCGTTCGTTAGAATTACACGAGGTGAAGCGAAATGGGGGGGAAGGGCGGGGGGGTGAAGAGAAAACTTACCTTTAGGAGTGCCCTGCAGGTAGCCTAGGCTAGAATACTCCGATAGCTAATAGAAGTTCCCCGAAGGCAGAGTCCCCAGCCGCTTCAGGGCGTGGCATGGCTGCCCGTGTCCCCTCGCCTTTAGGCAGTCTTTTTCGGGCGATGGAAGCTCCCCAAGTGCAGTCACCAGCCACTTTGATTGGCTGGTAAAAGCGGCCTCGGGGGGGCAAGCGCACACACACACTCCCCTCGCCGTGAGGCTGCTTCTATTGGCTGATGAAAGCTCCCCGAAGGCAGTCCCCAGCTGCTTCGGGGCGTGGCATGGCTGCTCATGTCCCCTCACCTTTAGGCAGTCTCTTTTGGGCGATGGAAGCTCCCCAAGTGCAGTCACCAGCCACTTCGATCGGCCGATAGAGGCTGGGGACTCTGCCTTCAAGGGAGCTTTTGTCGGCCGATAGAAGTGGCCTTGCGGCGAGGGGAGTGTGTGTGTGCGCTCACCCCGAGGCCGCTTCTACCGGCTGATCGAAGTGGCCGATGACTGCACTTAGGGATCTTCCATCGCCCGAAAGAGACTGCCTAAAGGCGAGGGGACACGGGCAGCCACGCCTCGCCCCGAAGCAGCTGGGACTCTGCCTTCAGGGAGCTTTCGTCGGCCGATAGAAGCGACCTTGCGGCGAGGTACGTGCGTATGAGCCGCTCTAGGTGGGGGAGGAAATTAAGTCACCCCCCAAAAGACGGCCTAGCTGTTTTTTCAGGGGTCAAAAAAAAAAAATAAGGCCCAGCCTTATTTTGTTAGAAACACGGTAGCAATATTCTATCAACATGTTTCTAAGAAATTGATGTTTTGATATTCTATTAATCATTATTCAACAAATGAGTAAATGGCACCTATTGTTCTTTGCTTATTGTACCAATGCTTAACTTTGGCTGCTTCACTGCAGTATAAATAAGTATTGTGATGAGTTGTAATATTGGAGCTCTTCATGCTCAGAAAATTGAGTATCATGGTTACTTTATGATGTTAGTAATTTCCATAAAATCTAACTTCAGATAATTCCAAATAATCCATTTGGTATTCCAAATATTTTTAAAATTTTAAAAAGAAACAGTAATAATTTTTGTATGATTATAGGTTTCAAATATTTTCTTCTTCTTTCTAGACCATTTTAGAACAAGATATTTTCCATTGCTCTTTGCTTGCATGTTGTTTTGAAATAGTGCTGTTTGCATATGGTTCACCAAGAACTTTTCCCTGGATCATTGATATTCTTAATGTCAAGCCATTCCATTTCTATAAGGTAAGCACAGGAAAAGCTTAAGATATGTAAGAAAGTGGTTTTATATATGGTCTTTTAAAAACTATTCTGAGGAAAATAAATATTTTAAACAATCATTTGCTGTGAAAAATCACAAATGCTTAAATTTGTAAAATGAAATGCACATGAAGTATTTTGTGCTCCTACAATGGAGTAGATAAAATTTGGATTTGTATTATGTATGTATGTGACTAAATTACTTTTTGCACTTAAGGTGATTGAAGTATTGATTCGTTCGGAAGAAGGACTCTCAAGAGATATGGTAAAACACCTCAACAGCATTGAGGAACAGATACTTGAAAATCTAGCCTGGAGAGAAAACTCTGTACTTTGGGATGCCCTTCAAGCCTCAGAAGATGAGGTTCCACGCTGTGAAGAAGTATGCTGTTTGGCAAATAAGTCATATTTAATACTGAAAAATTATTCTAATACATATATCATTTTCATTTGAAACGCTGGAAATACTGTCTGACTAAAACATGTGAAGGCTCAATTCTTTGTATTAAAAACATGAGTTATAACAGAATTGTAAAACAATATGATTTTTTTAACCTTTTGAACTTGTTACCTTTTCTTCTACAGGTAATATTTCCAAGTAATTTTGAAACAGGAAATGGAGGAAAAGGATTAGGATATCTTCCTATGATGCCAGCATCTCCTATCATGCACCCCAGAGTAAAAGAGGTTCGGACAAATCACGAGGGCAGTCATAGGCGAGGTAAGTTGAATTATTTTATATCTAAAAGAACATCTGCTTAGATACATACAGTGATAGAATTAAATTAATTAAAATCCAGACAAAACATAATTTAATTTTTTCTTTCTGAAAACTATACAACTAAAGTTTTTTTACCTCAATGTTGTTAGTGCTGTAATATTTCTACATTTAAATATTGGTTGTAGAAAACATCCAAAGAAAATCAGGAAAGGATATGAGCTTGGAAATAAGAAAACTAGACTATGAAAAGAGAACTGGTTATTTTGTAACTAAGCTTGTTTGAATTGTCATTTCCATCCAGTTCTCCACCATGACATACCAAGGCTATCCACCTGTGTACAGGCAAATACTTCAAATACTGTTGAAGACAGTGAGGAGGCTAGCTGCAAGTATGAATGTGGGCCAGTGCTGCTGATGCATCAATAATCTATTTTAGTGCAATAGTGACAGGGAAAACATTATACCTTTAAGTCAGCTTTGATTGCTGGCAAGTACCCCCTGCAGGTTTACAGTATTTGGCAGCATTTTTCAGAAGTCACTTACTAGTTCCTTCTTCCTAGGGCTGAGAGAAGATACTGGACTAAGGTTTGTGAGGCTAGAATTCAATTTCCTAGTTTCTAGTCTGATATCTTAACCATTATACCAAACTGTCTTTCAGTGACCTCTCAAATATGCCAGGTATGCTTCTGTACATGTATCAATCCACTATGGGCCTCCCTTGCCCAATCCTTGCAAGAAACTCAGATTTTTTAAAGCATCAAATCTATACCAATTATACTTTCACAGGCCTCAACAAGTTCATACTCAAGATTAAAGGTGCCTTCACATGCTATTCTTCTAATATGATTATAGACCATGATTTGTTAGCAGTGCCTCTCTAGATGGGGCAGACTTGTCTTAAAATAATTAATGGCCACAATGTGATATCAGGACTTAGTATAAGGACAAAGTAATATCTGAACATTTCAACTTCTCAAGACATTCTATGGCAGACCTTAAAGAGAGTGTTTTGGAAAAAATGAGACTTTAATAAACACAATTGAAGAGATTGTTGGACTCACATACATAAAGTTTCAAGCAATCTCAGAAAGTCTCCACAAACACAATTGATTTTAACATGTTACAACTGTTAATTGATAAGATACTTGTAATCTTCTCATATGTAGCCTGCATCAATATAACCCTGCAGCTCCCTCCCCCCATCCCATATTAAATCCTAGATCAGTCTAGTTCCGTGATGGGGAACCTATGGCACGTGTGCCACAGATGGCATGCAGAGCCATTTGTGCTGGCACGTGAGCTGCAGGCAAACTTACCTCACTGGGCATGCGCATGCCTCACAGCTGATTTTCGGCTGGTTTAAGGCCTTTTTTGGCCTCCCAAAGGCTTGAGGAAGGCTTCTACAGGCTTCTGCAGGCTTTGCAGGCCGAAAACTAGCCCCGTTTTGTCACTTCCGGTATTTTCGGAAAAACAGGAAGTGATGAAACGGGGCTGTTTTTTGGCCTGCAGAAGCCTTCCTCAAGCCTTTGGGAGGCCAAAAATCAGTTGTGAGGCACAATGCAGATAAGAGGGTGGCAGGGATGGGTGGGTGGGGATTACACATGCATGCATAGGGGGCCTGAGGGCGCGCGCATTGCCTTCTGGGTGCTGGCATGCAAGTGCAAGTGTGCGCACAATTTTTGGCACAGGAGCCCAAAAAGATTAGCCACCACTGGCCTAGTTACTCTATGATCTGATTAAATAAGCTGCATCTCATGAAAGCTTATCCCTTTCAGTAACATGTGTTTGAGAAAGTGCAACCAAATTGAAATGACAATAATTGGTACCAGGAAATGGATTCTAAAGCAATATGAAAGAAGGCTGAGTGATAGTCATGATTTTCACTGTCCCTTGGGGGGAGGAATTCTAAATGAGTGAATTGTCAAAGAACAGATCCTTCCGATAATGTTGTCTCTTTACTCCTTATTTTACACAAACTGAGTATACTACATTTTCTAGTAAATTCCTTGGTTTGTAGAGAACTGAAAAATTCAGTTAGATATAAATGTGACAACTTATATAAACTCAAAAAATATTCCAGTGGAATATAGTATTATAATTTATTTTAAAATGAAAACTAATTTTATTATAAAACTATAGAAGTATTATTTGGCCTTCAGTGTTCCACTTTTGAACACTGTCTAGTTTGTATAGTTCCAAACACAAAATATTTTTGTTCCTCTGATTTACTGCATTTTGAAGTAATGCTTTTCTCTTTTATTTTAGATTTGCAGCTATTGTCTCCAATCTCCATTCATGATCGTTACAATTCTCCTATGGCAGGGAGTGCTAAAAGAAGGCTTTTTGGAGATGAAAGCCCTCCCACAAAACCTGCAGAAAAAAAATATGCTGAAGCAATGAAGCTGACAACAGACAAGCATATGCCTGTTTCACCTGATGAAATTGCTCGAAGTATGGCACAAACTGCAGTAACAAGACAAAAAGTAACAATCCCATTACACGGTAGGTATGAAATAATACAGTTTTTGTTAGAATTTTTAATGGCAAAGGGTAATGGTAGTGAACATTTTTGGAACATTTTTGAAATAATTGTCTTAAACAACTGACATGGGTATGAAAAAAGAGCAAAATGTTGTTCAATTTAGTGTTACATTTTTTTACCAGCAGCGGGGGAAAGCTACTTAATAGCGTTTTGTGTATTTGGTATCCAAATAATTTAGCTTCTTATCACTGGGCAGTCCCTGATGAAAGTGTGGAAATAAAATATGAGTTCACTTGGGTAGCAAAAAGTCTTTAGTTACTTCTAGGTATAATCTTTGTAGAAATGCATTGCTTTGGAGGCATCCATGGGGAAATATTTCAGGGCTGGCCAATTTTTTTGACTCCATTTTATGCTGTATCATAGGAATAGCTAGAGACAAATACACATTAATGTAAATACAAAATGCAGTGTTTATTGAGGCAACAATGAGGAACTTCAGTAAGCCCATGAATCACTATTCCTAAATTACATTAATCTGTTGAAAAGGTTGTATTAAGATGTAGAGTCTTCTGTATTGACTTAATATGCATTTTCAGAATGTTTATTCTAGCCTAAGAAAGGATATTACAACAGGTCAATAACTTTTGTGTGTATCTTAGGTAATACAAATGAGACAGGAAGGATCACATTGATACCTATTGCAGTCAATATATCTGAAGACTCTAAAGTGGACAGCTATGGACAAGTCCCACTCAGTGCTGATGCTTTAATGACTGCTTGTCCAAGTCAGCCTTCTCCAAGTGAACCCTTTCATTCAACAGGAAACAAGCCAAAGAAAACTGGATCTCTAGCACTTTTTTTCAGAAAGGTAGAATGTATTTGTAAATATGTTTTGTATTAAAATAATATTCCACCATGACCACTAGCAGAAATCTTTCGTAAAAATAATCTAAACATATTAAAATCAGTAAAAGCTATATAAAAATAGTTACTAAAAACCACAACACACATTGAGAGCTAACATGAAATGAAGACTATTCTGCTTATAATAGATAATCTCCAGAAAATAAAAATGTTTGTGATAATTCAGTTTTTTTATAATCACAATGAGATGAACTCAAATATGAATCCACAGTAGAATATAACTTGTCAGAAAGAACAAAGAATTGTAAAATAAAAATGGAAAGGTACTTTTGTGCAGATCTTACATGTTGATGTTAGAAACTTATAAACCAAAACAGGGAATTTAAGTGCATGTCTGGATTCAAACTCTTTAAGAAAAAGAAAATACACACAGTACCAATGTGTTGCACCAATAGTATAACAATTTAAAGGCCAGAAATATATGACCTGCAGAATAGTTATGGATGGAAACTTAAACTATTTTTGTATTTCGAGTATTTCCCTGGTTAAAATTCTCAAAGTGATGTTGAAATTAGAATAAGAGAGATATCCAACTAGTATACAAGATAGTTCCAAAACTTTTCATAAAAACGATAAAGAGGTTAACTTTCTAAAAACTCTTTAAAAACTGCGCTAATAGAGTTGCTTGTGAAATCAATTTAGGATTAATTCTAAGTGGCACTCCTCATTCGATCTGGAATAGATTAAATTGACTACAGTGCATTCAGATTTAACATATACATAACTGAAAATGCTGAGGAAGTCAAACATACAGTAGGTCCATTGAACTTTAGAATAGGAAACTTCAAATTAGAAGGGTATGAAGGAGAAACAGAATCAATATTCCAGAACATTTGAGACTTATTTAAAACAATAATCATAGACCTTCATTAGCAAATAAATTTCAAGTCAGGAAACATACAGTATAACAAAATAACAGAGTTGGAAGGGACATTGGAGGTCTTCTAGTTCAAAACCCTTCTTAAGCAAAACCCTATAACATTTCAGACAAATGATTGTCCAATCCCTTCTTAAAAACCCAGTATTGGAGCATTCACAACTTCTGGAAGCAAATCTTTTCACTGATTAATTGTTCTAATTTAACAATATCACTGTTCAGTATGCACAGAGATCTGCTTGGCTAATACCTTTTCTGGCTTAATTGATAAATATGGAAGAAAAAAATTGATGAAAAAAACACATCATTTGATAAGACCTAGTAGTCATGCCATATTTCTCTGGTATCTATTTATATAGAGTTTCTAAAAGCTTGATAGAATTCCTATGTAAAGGCTCCTGAGTTTTAGTTTTGAAGATAAAAAATGATTACTGTTTCCGCATTTGTGTAGCTTGTGTAGCAAAACCTGCCTTTATCTTATTTATTCAATAAAAAGACATGGGTAAAGGAGGCTACTTGTCTAGGTGCTTTGCCATGTTATACATCGTCAATCAGCCATTTGAGTGTACCTGGCCAATATTTCAAGAAAAGTACAAATACCAGCATAGTGATTAGTGGCTAAGAACAATGGCTAAGGAAGCGGGGAAATGAGCTATTGAAAATTCTTCCTTATGATTTTTTTATGTTTTATTTTTTCAGTTTTGTTTCAATATTTCATTCTACATTTTATGTTCTATTTATTTATTTATTTGATTTATATTGCGGCCTATGCGCCCATGGTGACTCAAGGCGGCTTACACAATGTAAAATCATATTTAAAACAAAAAATATAAAACAAAATTTTTTATGTTCTATACTATCAATTTGAATAATGTCAAGCAACTATAATGTATATAATAAAATGTCATGTTAAAAAGAGTCTTTGGATCCAGTCATTATTCAAAGGATGCCTGAAAATAATTAAATTACACAGTAATTTTCAGCAAAAAACTTGCAAAAAATTTAAATTAGCTGCATTATACTACTACCCATTTTTCAGAAGGGATTCAAATTCCTGAAAATAAACAAACAAACAAAAATAACTTAGTGTGGCCTTTCCTCTTAGGTGTACAATTTGGCAAGTGTTCGATTACGTGATCTATGCTCAAAACTGGATGTTTCCAATGATTTACGAGGGAAGATATGGACTTGTTTTGAATTCACTTTAGTCCATTGTACAGATCTAATGAAAGAGAGACACTTGGATCAGCTTCTTCTCTGTGCTTTTTATATCATGGCAAAGGTAAGAGGTCCTTCAAAATGTAATTTTTTAATGTTATTGAATGAATTTTGTAATACCTTATTTTAATAAATTGCTTAAAGAACAAATATTCTTAAAATGTTTTTCATATTCCTAGGTTCTTTGTTTCCAGGTACTCTAAATAAATGTTTTCCTTTGGCCAGCTAGAAGTGAGAAACTTAGCTAGCAGTTGCTAAGCAAACAAGATGTGGAATTAGTCTAAATACTTCAATTTTATTAGTGTGAACCTCTATGATATTTGAGTTCAAAATGTTTAACAAGATTCAGAAAGAATAGAGAATGGATTTTTTTCTAGTTGTGCTATATACAATGATTCTTCTTTGAAAATGCTGTGAAAAGCTATTTTAGGTTTATGTATATCAGTAGGAGCCTTTTCTTTTTAATTAGTTGCAACTGCTTCTTGCTCAGGTGTCTAAAGAAGAAAGAACTTTTCAGGACATAATGAAAAGTTATAGAAATCAGCCACAAGCTAATAGCTATGTAAGTATATTTCAGCATATTTATAAATATTTTGCTTTTGTTATTTAAATGCTATCTGCAGTGTTAAGAATAGTTCCAATCATGCTCCCTCAAATTACAAAATCTTGATGTCTTTGCTTCTCTAGGTATACAGAAGTGTCTTACTGAAAAAAGTACAAACTGATGTAATAGATGTAAAATATGAAAGCATGTCAAATGAAGGTAACAGTGGTAATTATATTATACTATTTTAAAGCTAAAATGTATACTTGACAACAGGATTCTCTTAAATATGTAACATTTAGAATATATTACCTAATTATTCAAAATTAGATGGAAACAATTTTATTCTTTTTAAATATGTCTATAGGTTTGAAAATACTGTTTTATTTAAATTCTTTCCATATAATCGTAAATTAAAACATTCTAACATATTTAAAGGCCAACTATTACATAAAGGAGAGAACAGGAACAACCAGAGTGGTCCATGTTATAAAACAAATAAGAAAATATAGTTGAAAATTTAACCTGTGGGCTTAACAAATATTATCAAGATATTTGCATTGAGACCATTTTTTGATCAAGTAAAGCATTTTAGTTCATGATATATGCAGTGACTTGGATTTTATAGAAAACAGTCCCAGAAATAGAATTAAATCTATTCTAAAAAACATGTGGTTTCAAAATATGTTACTGTTTCTTCAATATTTTTCCCAACATAAGTGTACTTACTCAGAAGGATGTCCATGTTCAATAGGTTTACTCTCAGTATAAATTAATTCCTGACATGACATTTAGCCATGGTTTCTTACTGTTTTTTTTTTTCCATATAGCTTATATACAGAAATGTGTTGTGCTGACAGTGGTGGGTAGGGGACCCGGTCTGTATTCAACACATGGCGATCTGGTGATATCATATATGTGCACTTGGTCAATCCATATTTATTGCAATACTATTTAGTCTACAACCCTATGGTATATAAGACTAACTTACATTCCTCTTGTGACTTGCTTCCAAATAAAGCATCTACTGGTGTTGTTTGCTTTGATTAATTCTGCAGATTGGGAAGGTGGTGGAAAGAGGAGGGAGGAAAAATAGCCATTGTGTAAAGACAACATATTTTCTGCTTCCCTTTTTAAATTTAGAAGCTAATTATATTTATCTTGCCTTCTGTCTTCCTTTCAAAGGTGTCTGCAGGAAGATGAATGATTATAGAGATTTGGAAAAAGAAGAGAGAGGCGATCTTATAATGTTTTACAACACTATTTATGTAAAAAAAGTGATAAACTTTGTACATGATTATATGGTATGTGAATCTCAAATTTCTATATGGATTCATAGTTCGATTACTGTTTTTTTTACACTTATCTTAGATAATAAGAGGAGTGGATTACCTCTAACAGTATACACCCATTGAGGTTATAATTGAAAACCAGATTCCCAGCTTATACGATTAAGAAAAGCTGGTCATCTCAATAGTAATCTTCAGCTAGAGAATATTCTCCCTCAGAGGACAACTTTTACCTTTCCTTTCCTTTTTTAATATAAATTATTATTAAGTAAACATTAAAAACAGTTGAACACAGTGCGACTTTCTTGGCCATCATTTTGGCCATAAATTATAGCATTCTTCCAGTTTTGGGCATACACCAATCTTGCAGCAGTCATTATATGTAGCATTAAATATGTTATTCCTTTACTATATTTCTCATCAATAATTTCCAATGGGAACATTTCTGGTCTAACCTCTACTTTTTGGCTAATCATCTCTTCTATCCATATCTTTATTTTCCACCTGTACTTTTTTGCTTTTACACATTCCCACCACATGTGATAATAAGTCCCTATCTTCATGTTACATTTCCAGTATTGTGGTGATACACTTTTACTTATTTTAGTCAATCTGGTTGGAGGGAGGTGCCATCTGTAACACATTTTATATCGGTTCTCTTTATATGAAGTTGCCAGGTTAGTTTTCTATTTCTTTCCCATAGCTTTTGCCAATTGTCTAATTCAATATTATAACCAAAATTCTTAGCCCATATTATCATTACTTCTTTAACTTGCTCCTCCATTTAATATTCTAGTAAATAGTTGTATATTCCCTTGATTGCTTTTTCCTCTGTTCCTAGTAATATCTTATCCAATGTCATCAATTCTATCTATATCTCCCATTCATTTTTATCTTTCTTGTATCTTGATTGGATTTGCAAGTACGGCCACAATTCAAGTTGTATCCCTTCTTCTTTCAATTCTTGTCTGGATTTTAGTTCCCCCTTTTAATTTAATAATTCTTTGTATGTAATAACTTTCCTCAAATTCATAAAGTTTGGGTGCACTAATGCTTCTAGTGTTGAAAGCCATGCTGGAGTCTTTATGTAATGTTGCTGTTTAATTTTTATCCATACCTTAAGTAGAGCATGTCTTACATAATGCCTGTGGAAGTACTAGTGGGCTTCCAATATTAGTAATCTCCAGGGGTGGGATTCAATTTTTTAACAACTGGTTCTGTGGGCGTGGCTAAGTGGGCATGGCTAGGTAGGCGTGGTCATGTGACTGATTTTTTTTGCAGCAGTTTTGATCGATAAATTCATTTAAAAATCTTTTAAGTCTTTCCGCAATCTGTTGTCTAAAAGAAATCTGTTGTTTTGTTCAAGAGAAGCTTAAAAAAGCAGCTCATTTTGAACACCTACACCAGAATACAAGAGATAGGTATGCAGTGCATGTGGTTTATCATTTAATGATGTTCAGTAATCATTGATAAGCATGTTACATATATATTTTAAAATGTTAATTGCCTATTTCCATTAAGCTGGAACCAATTTTAATATTTTCCATAGAAATATCACTTCAACAAATGTGAATTTGACTAATACGACAATTTTTAGGATTCATTAACTGCACTAATTGATCTATTTATCTTTCTAAGTTTTTAAACTTCTTATTTATCACATAGTTTGTATGAATATAGAACTTAAAGCAAATGAAAAAAATTCAAAGATAATATATAAGGATGGGTTAGCTAAAATTTTCTAAAAATTAATCACATTTAATCAATTAAACTTCAACAGCAGGTGATGCCCAGTTTAGGTCCCCCTATTCCTAGCTCAAGAACTTAATTACTACATTATCTTTCTAATCCTTTAAACATCTTTTTAGTAACCAAGGGAGATCTGTCTTATAATGTACTTCAAAACATAAAGTTTCTATCTACTATTATTGGAATAATTGCAAATTGCTTTCATTTTTTTTGAGGTTAATCTCTATAATATTATATTATTTATATATATTATCTATATTATCTTTATAGGGATGTGGTGACTCAGTGGCTAAGACGCTGAGCTTGTCAATCAGAAAGGTCAGCAGTTAAGCGGTTCGAATCCCTAGCACCGCGTAATGGAGTGAGTTCCCATTACTTGTCCCAGCTTCTGCCAACCTAGCAGTTCGAAAGCATATAAAAATGCAAATAGAAAAATAGGGACCACTTTGGTGGGAAGGGCATTCCGTGCACCTTCATTCAGTCATCTTTTCCTAATATTCAAGAATCCATGGTTCTTTTATTTTAATTATATAACATAGCATATTTTTAATTGTTGTGGAATAGTAATTGGGAGTGGGGAAAATAGGATTCAAATTCTTCTTCAGCTATGAAGCCCACTGAGTGACTTTGGACCAGTCACTGTCACCAATCTATTTCCTGGGGTTGTTACAAGTATTAAGTGCACAGGGTGAATATGTCATGCTTTGATCTCTTGAAAGAAAGGCAAGATATAAATGCAACTCATAAGTTAAAAATAACTTATCTGTATTTCATAGATAATTTTCCTTTCACATACCATATTCTAAATGTTCATATTTTAATGGGAAGTTAAAATAGTTGAAAGACATACTGTGAGTTAAAATCTCTGTAACAAAAACTGGAGTTCAGCCGAACTATCTGATTATGATTTTGGTTTAGTTTTTGCTAAATAATGGCTACAGCTTCTAGAAATCTTAAGTGAAGAAAAAAGAGCTATCAGCTAGTTGGAGTATAAAATAACTTGAGCAGAGAAATGACTCATTTTTTAAGCTTCAGTTAGAAGTTAACTGAGAAAACACATGTATCCAAAATTAAAAAAAAATCACCATAACCGCATTACAGAAGCAAACAAAAACCCCATTGT